AAAGGAAAAAAAACGAGCATTGCATAGTTTTCTCTTTGTTGTTCGGTTCCAGGTCATTCCTAATGAACGATGTCAGCGGTGGTTTAGGGCGGCAGGACGTCGTGAGACGATACACGATGTTTTCCTTTGCGCCGGTTACAAGGAAGGCGGACGTGATTCATGTCAGGTATGTGGGTCTGATCAAAGATATTATATGCATACGGCGCATCGGTTAGTCTATCAATCTTAAGAAATTTTACGGCAGAGAATACCTTTCTAATCGAACATTAATAAATATTGAGAAATAATGAGAAATTTCATCGTACCTTTAAGCTTGAGAATATGAAAGGAATCATGAAATTTCTAATGCTTAACATTTAAGTAAAAGCTTCGCAAATTTTAATGCGTGTATATATATTGTATTTATGCGGGCCATGTAATTTTTCTTTTGTTCATAAAATAAATAAATTTATCATAAAGTGCTAATGAGATCGTGAATTTTACAATATTATGTATATTAATTGTTATAAACGAGACTTTTTAAATCGGTATATTTCTAAGGATAAAATATCCTAAAATTTGTTTTTCAATTACTTTTCTAAAAATCATGAAGATAAATATTTGTAAATTATTACAGTAAGCAATTATATCGAATGATTTCGAAAGTATAAAAAGAATATTCCCTCTGTAAAATCGTTAAAATATTCATTAATATATTTTCAATATCTTAACTATTTATAAATGTAACGCACAGTCAATATATTATTTGTTGGTATTAATTAATAGTAATTAATACATCGTTTAATCTTATACCTTCGAATGATATAATAATTAATTAATTATCAATAATAAGTATGCAATTGAAATATTTTACTTAGATGAGCTAATAGATATGTACGATTGATCGATATGAATTATTTGTTTGCATTCGCAGGGGGACTCGGGAGGTCCACTTACCATGTCCGTTGAGGGTAGGCATGTTTTAATTGGCCTCGTCTCCTGGGGCATCGGCTGTGGTCGAGAGCATCTGCCCGGTGTTTACACCAACATCCAGAAATTTGTCCCGTGGATAGATAAGGTCATGAGTTAGGGAAATAAAATGGCCAAGATAGATGATGGAAACATTTTTTTAACAATCTGAAATCTATTTTTGGCGATGATTTGACGTGGCGTAAGGAAAATACTAGAGATACGATGTTCCAATTGCAGTGGCGCAGCTTCTCAAATTTTTGTTGTTGTTGTTTTTTTTTTTTTTTTTTTTTTTTTTCACCAGGACTGAACGTATTTGTACATTATTATATTTACAGAATGTTTGTTTGTTTTCTTTTTTCAATATGCCTTTGTCAGAGTTTTATTTATAGTTTGAGTAAATGCTTCTGGAGGAGTTCTGTAACATTTGATGAATGCATTTTATAATTTGCGTTTAACAATAAGCTTGCACAGGTAACTTTCGACATATTAGTACTAAAGTGTCTCTTTAATGTACAGAAAAAAATCTAAGGAGCTTAAGATTGACTGTGTTTATTCACCGAAGCGTTTGTAATGATATTTTGCAAATGGTATTTGTAAAGTGCCTGTAAACGATTAAAAAAAAAATTATATTGTATATTGCGATTTAACTATATACATTTATATGCGTTAGTTGTATTGATATGATGTTTCTGAGAGGCTTTAACCTATCAGAGATTTATTTGTACATTTCATCGATATCCGTTCATTATTTTTGCATACAAATGGTTTCAATCAACGAATGAAAAGATGACTATCTGCCTTACCAAAGCTTTCATTTACTCATTATTAACGATTTAATGTTCGCCGATAAGCGTCATTGTATTGATTTTGTTCATTTAAGTACTTTTTTCTATTTTTGAAAGTATTTTTATTATTATTATTATTATTATTATTATATAGAAATATGTAAAAGAGCAATTGAAATTTAAAGAAAAATACATTTTATTTATTGAACAATGCGAGATTCTTCGTAACTTATAAATCCGTAGTTATCTGAAAACCTTGATCTATTAATTTGTAAATTCATAAAATTAAGAAAATACTTGATTAAGAAAGAAAATAAATAAAAAAAAATACATATATATATATATATATATATATATATATATATATATTAATACATATTTCACGATTTTACTCTATTTTACGATTTTAATTTATAAATATTTTTGTACAATTATTGTCATTTTTTAGAAATAAAGACGTAATAAAAACTAAAATAAATGTTCGTATTTTATACTTCGCTAATAATGGCGTTTGAAGCGATAGAGATTAGTTGAATATTATATTTATTACATATAATACGTATGCATAAATGAAAATTCAATAAGAACTTTGTGATTCGCGTTATATTTTTATTATTATAAATTTTCAACATAATAATTAATGGAAAATTATAATTAAGTATCTTATTGTATAATTCGTTAGTACTGACTGTGTAAAATTTTTTATATTTTATATATATATATATATATATTGACAGTTGTGTTATTATATTTTCTTTAAAAAAAAAGTTTAACTATAATCTTATTCTAAATGATATGTTCACCTATTTAAATTGTATTTAATAAATTAATCAACATTAATTATATATTAATTATATTATCTTGATAATGATTTGGGTATAGGACAGAAATAAAGAAAAAAAACATTCGGCTTCGATAACTGCTAACAAAATTTAATAAATTTAATGTTAGAGCCATTGTAGAGTAACATTTTCCTTGTAACAAACGTTGTGCTTCTTTCTAAAATATAAAGACGATCTCAAATCACATTCTATTTACATCGAAACTGTATGTAGAACATTACAAGTTCGTGTCGCAAACGTTTACAAGGTTAAGAATTCGATTCCACTATTTCTTACATTATATTTATTTCAAATTATTTCATTTATTAACTTGGTAGGTGTATTTATTACTTCGTCGTTTCTCACATTCGTATCTCATTTGTTTCTTTTAATTAATTATTTATCTTTTTACCATATCTAAGTCGTCGATTATGCATGTATTTTTTCTCTATTAATATATTTGTGTGAATTCTTCGTAAGCTTTTTCGTTTTTTTTTTTCTTTTTTTCCTTTTTTCTTTTTCTTTTTCCTTTAAATATCTCGCTGCTGTGTACCATTCAAACTCAATATCATAGCATCTTTGTCGTCTCTTTTTCTTTTATTTACGTCCATTAAATTACGGTAGTTGTTCCCTTAGTAGGAGACTCTCCCTATGAGTTATTTTAGTAATTTTTTCTTCTTGAATTACGATAGTTCAAATGTAGCTAGTTGCTTGAATCAACACGGATAAATTTTTTTTTTTTTATAACGAATTTTTTACTCCCTACATTACACTGTATTTCTTCCTTTGAACAATTGTTTATATTCAATCATTTCATCGCTCATTTCAAGTAGCCCTATTTTTAATTAATAATTTATATAAATATTATCATAATAATTTAACAGTAACAAGTGAAAATCGAATAAAGCTTGTACATTTTTACAATTCTCATACGCGATAAAATATTTTTAACGTCATCGCATAATTTTACGCTTAGATTTTCATCGACTTTGTTAATAGAAATATTGACTATCTCTTACTTTATTGATGGATATGAAAACAAATGAGCTCAAACATATTTACATATCTATTTATCATATTTATTACTTGCATTACTTCAATAACTGTATATTCGTATTTTTAATAGATGTAATGTTTTACTCAAATGGCCATTAAAAATTAATTTTTCTTAGTCGATTAGACTTTTCTCAATTAAAATTCTTATAAAAGATTATGTTATTAATGATTAAAATTTTTTTTTTCTTTTCAAAATAACTGAATAATCAAATATCGATGCTATCGTGTTTTTTTTTTTTTGTATAAATAAATAAATAAATATATCTGTTTTATAATGAAATTAAATAAATATATTTAAATTTCTGTGGCTTGCCTAATGAGTGAAAGATTATAATCTCTAATTAAATATTACAATGATTATTATTAACGCTTTTAAATAATAAACGATACTATAAATAAAAAAAAAGCTAGTATTTTTAAACGAATAATTGGATAGTATTGACAAATTTTTGATAATATAATTGTCTCAGAAAATACGTGAGTGTTGAGAATTGTAATTGAGCCACGAAGAAATATCGAACGATAAAAAGGTGTAAGACCAGCTTACTTTTAATAATATATCAACATAAGGAATATATACTTTAATGCAGAAAACAATAGATGTAAACATCGTAATAATTGGCAATAAACATGTTTATAATGTTACGGATGCCTTGCTAAATCTCACTACTTTGCTCTGCTCAATATTTTTGTTGTTGTTGTTGTTGTTGTTGTTGATCAAATTGGTAATAAATTGTGGATTTTAATATTTTCAGTTTATTAGAAATGTACATTTGGTTGTTTGGCCAAAGAGAATATTGAATTATTATGGGGAAATAATTATTTATATGTTTCGTAAATTTTATTTTTAAGAGTAATTATTGTTTGTCTAATATGTCTTTGCAAAAATGTTTTTTAAAAATTTTGCCGTTTATTATAGTTTTAGATTTTACATCAGTAATACTACTACTAATCTTAATAATAATAATAATAATAACAATAATAATAATAATAATAATAATAATAATAATAATAATAATAATAATAATAATAATAATAATAATAACAATAGTAATAATAACAATAGTAATGATAATGATAATGATAATAATAATAATAATAATAATAATAATAATTGTACTAATAATACTAATAATAATCTTTCTTAAAATTAGTAAACATATTAATTATACTCTCGACAAATCTTTAATACTTATATAGATAATAAAACATAAATAATTTTTTTTATCCTTTCCATCGTTCTATCCTGCTTGTTGAATAAAAATTGTATATTTTTGATGAAAGCGACCACAACTTAATTATTTACACTTTATAAAAATTCTTTTCAATAAAATTTTCATACTTAATTAAAATTAATAAACAATTTAATAAATGTGTTAAAAATCTTTTTAGCACTTAATTAAAAAACAAATGCCATCGTTATAATTTTTAACAATATAGGAAAGAACTATGAAGAAGATGACAAATCCTTTACTTCCAATCACCTACAACATAAATAATTCGTTGTTTATCATTTTTAAAGTACTATTTGTGCTTCAACAATAGTACATATTCTTATATAATTCCTATTTAGAAGTTTATTTTATTTTTTATGGAGAAAAAGAATCATTTTTTCAAATTGTTTCGATTATTTCCATACACACTTTTGTAATTCCATAAATACATACATACACGCATGCATACCTTCGTCATTTAATTTTTTTTCTTTTCTTTTCTTTTGTTTTTCTTTTCCTTTCGTAAAATGCTAAGTCTGTTTGGCTATAATAATAATAATGCTGAGGATGTGGAAAAACCGATAGGAAGGGGTCAATGATGAAAACAGGTAAAGAGGAATATCCTTTGAGAATTCATTTATCTTTATTTTTTATATCAGAATCATATAATTTATTATTATTGTAATTGAATATATGCTTTATTTTTTTCTCGTTATGTAATTATTTTTTTTTTCTCGTCTATTATTTAATTCATTAAATGTTCTAAATAGAGTTAAACGCGCCTAAATTTCTTAAGACACTAGACTGTCTTGCATACATTTGGAGGCATCATTTATTCAATATATTTTTCCTTAAAAAGGTATACTTTCAATGAAAAACTCATGTAAAAGTGTTTTCTCAATTTATTATAGTCTATCACCTATTATTATAGATTTGTATACGAATCTGTTTAACGATTGGTCATTTTCTAATTTTATGTTATTAACCACTTTTTTGGTTTACATAATTATCATCTTTTTAAATTGATAATAATAAAGTTGTGTATATTTTTCCTTACTGAACAACTATTATAACTTGCTCAATCTGCATTTAATGAATTTGTCTTCTATTTCACAAGTTATGATTTTTAACTGGCACTTCTATATTTCCGTACAGCAATCTCTCGTTAATTATTTTTTATAATTAAAACTGTCGAAATGTCTATAACTATACCTACATAGTCTAGATACCTAACCAATGCAATTAATAGCAATAGTCATAATATAAGGTTTTTATATTTGTATTTTCATAATAATAACAACAATGGTAATTAATTATAAATCTGCGTGCGTGCGTGTGTGTGCGCGCGTGCGCGTGTGTTCGTG